ACTTTGGGGCATTCACAACTTCTGGAGGCAAGCTGTTCCACTGATTAATTGTTCTAACTGTCAGGAAATTTCATTCTAAACAGGCACTTGTCCTATTTCAGGAACGTTTGGAGGATATTCCTCATTTTCGTTTTACTCCAGAAACTTTATGTTGTTGTTGTTGTTTTTAAGTTGACCCAAAGTCAGGTTAGATTGGCCAATTTGGCATTGCACTTCTCAAAGGGGAGCACTTGTTTCCTTCTGGTCCTTTAGGTCTCAGACAGATCAGAACTGCTGGATGGCTTTGGCATCCCGTTTAATGTACTTCAATCCAAACTGAAGTAGGTTAAACCGGAATCCATAGCCTAGTGGAGTAAGCTGGACTAATTTCAGTTTAAACTATTTCGTGGGGTTATTGGAAAGAAAAACTACATTGCTGGGAGTGTAGTGTAGTGTATGCAGCCTTTTTGCTCCTGGGGGGGAAAAGGTGGGATATAAATTTAATGAAATAAGTAAGTTGGTGCATCTGATCCAGCTGTGACTTCTCCGTCATCCCTTGCAGTTGAGATTGGCAACAGCTCATTAGCGGGTGGACTGCTCCCCTGCCAGTCACTTTCTTTCACTTCCTCACAATGCCTTATTTGTTCCTGCTGCTGAAGGCAGATTAGGCTCTGGGTGTAAAGAAAGAGTCCTTTCTCTGAGCAGATGCCTGTTGTGTTGGCAGATTAATGTCACGCTGGTTGAGACTGGTAGCCTATTAAAGTTGGTGGGACCAATCAAAGAACGGGCTGAAAAGAGGGGTGTTAGGGTGAGATTTGATACAGGCAGAAATTGGATTTGGGGTGGGGGGCAATCAGATTATAATAGCAGTTTCCCCCACAGCCAGCTCTCTGCCAATGGCTTGAATGGCTCTAGGTTGGAGCAGGTTAATCACACACTGCTGAGTTGTGTATGTGAGATGAATCTTGGATTCAAATATGCCATTAGTTGCATTTTTCAACACACACACACACACCTTGAGTCCAAGGCAGGGCTCAGTGCGAAAAACAGCGGGGGATTTTCTGCCATCCAACTCAGAAGTGGTATTTAGCTGGTTCTGACCAGTTCTGGAGAACTAGTAGCAGAAATTCTGNTTTATCACTCAACGGAGCAAAACTCCCAATCCCCAGTATGATGAACTAAGGAACATGAGCACTGTTCCCTGTGTACAGATTTATTCACAGTTTTGAAATGATCTTGAAAAGATCTGGCCTGTTTAAAGCTTAGCTTTCTTTATGATTGAAGTTTGCTTGAATTCGGTGCTAACATCACAGACTAGATGAAGTATTACCAAGGTACTAGCTATAAGGTCTGACTATAGCTCTCAGTATGAACATCAATATCAAGTAAGAGAGGAAATTAATTGTATTGAAACAACTAGATTCAAGGTCCAGAAGCATTCAAGGAGAGTAAAAAAAGAAGTGTTAAGGTGAGAAGTACCAGTCCTGACATACTGAGATGTATTTTGCAGTGGAAGGGATAATGTGATCCAGAACAGCCATGCTCTTGCTCTTGATTAAATCATTCTTATGGCTGCTGGTTAGTTAACACTATGTGGTTTTTCTGTGGGAGTTGGTGCACCCAATTATGGTCAGCGTCTGTCAGAACATTGGTCCAATTTACTCAACAAATGGCTAAGACCAACTCTTAAGAGAGCTGCACCTAGCTGTTTACATGCAGGGCATGCAGACTGATCCACAGTCCGGATTTAACTTGCAAACTGATCCAAATCATTTTGCATGGCATAAAGGAAATATACTTCCCAGCCCTGCTCTACCTGCTGTTTGCCTTGAGGGCCATTTGCCACATTGTCATATGAGTGATGTATTAGTAGTGTAATATAGCCAGGAGAAAAATTCCTCAGAAATTCACTGGCGCATGTCCAGGCTTTGAGAGAGCTGATGAGACAGCAAGACCGGAACATCTGGCCCGTGCCTAATGCAATGATCTGTCACCATGGCATCTGACTCATTTCCCTCTCCTATTACCAGCAGCTAGGCATGGGAGGGCAACCGTTTTCTGTCCATTGAGCATAGTCATTGTTCTTGGATGTTGGTTTCCCTTGGCTGCTGGCTCACAAGTGTCAGTGACTTTAACCTCAGACAGAAGGTTCAGAAAGAAGATCCAGGATTTTTCCAGAAGGGAACATCTTGCCTGCTGAAAAACATAAATGCAAAATGGCCCAAAGGGACTTTGGATTGAGATTATGGGTTATTAGGGTTCTACAGAAGGGAAGAAGATGGCATGAGGAACTGAGTGGTCCCAATTCATCATAGGTTAAGATGCAGCTGCAGTCAAATCATTTCATGAAAAATGACAATGCTTTCACAAGAAACATTATTTTCCCTTTTCTAGAGGTTACACCTTCTCCTTCTCTTTCTTCTTGTCCTTTTTTTAAAAAGTGTGGAACTGTAGATGTAGATACAAAGCAGTTTGGTATAGTGGTTAAGGAACCAGGCTAGAAACCAAGAATCCATGAGTTCTAGTTCTGCTTTAGGCATCAACTAGCGTGTCCTTGGGCCAGTCATTCTCTCCCAGCCTTAGAAAACAAGCCGTGATAAACCACTTCCAAAAATATTGCCAAAATACCACAGGAACTTGTACAGGCAGGAGGCAATGCTGATTCAAACACACACACACACATGGACATATGCACAACACACACACATGCATGGAGGGGAGGGAGGGAGGGAGGGAGAGATTAGATACAGAAACAGACAGAGGTGGGTTCCTACCGGTTCAGACCGGTTCAGCCGAGTAAGTAGTAATTTGGCTGGACATGCACCCAAACCAGTTCTATCCTCAGCGGCACCATCTTGATTTTCTGTTCTGCAGAAAATGATTGTTCTGTGTAGAACAATCTTCATTGAAAAAATGTAATCCCCCCCTTTTTTAATGTGTGCATGCACGTACCTTTTTAGGTGCAAACAGGGAATGCACACGGACCGCATGTCTGGTATGCACGTGAGCAAAGCGAGCATGCGTGGGCAAAATTTTTCGGGCACTGAACCGGTAGTCATCCCTGTATACAGATACAGATATGTTAGTTTCCCCAGTTCCAATTAGTTTCTCCACTTCTAACAATGATCATTGCAATGCTCCTGTATCTTTTTGGTGTGAGACTTCCTTTCTATAACTCAGTGCAGGTGCCTTTTACTAGGGATGCCTTGCTAATAGTTTCAGAGTATTCCTTTTATGACAGGTATTCCTTACAATGTTGTAAAGCATACATGGGGGTGGGGGTGAAGGGACATTTTTTTATTCAGATTATTAATGGGTGTCGGGAAGCGATTACGTGGGAATGAAATTAGAAGGGAAACACAAGAAGCCAAAGAAAATGAAACACAGTCAAAAAAAAATCTCCTGTTTGTATGCCTTCTCTTAATACATTTTTTCTGGTTTTAAGGTTTGTCTGTTTCAAAAGATGAACTACTGAGCCAGTGGTAGGGCTTTAGCATGAACTCTGCTAACCCCCCCTTCCGTGCTTTGATCCCCTCCTCCCCCGAGTCTTGTGTTGACATTATGGGGACTCTTCTTTCCTCCTCCCACCCCCCTCGCCCCCCCTCTTCCCTTCATCTCTGCTTTGCAAGTCCTTGCCAGTGCACTTGTTTGCTTTGCAACCGACTAATGGCTGCATGTGAAGTGGCTCCTTTTGGCCTGTTCCATTCAGCTCCCTTCAGCCTTTGTGGCTTGTTCTCTGTTACCTCTCAAGAACTACTGGGAGACGATTCTGTAAGACAGCCTTTCTCAACCTTGGCAACTTTAAGATGTGTGGACTGCAACTCCCAGAATTCTCCAGCCAGTAGGCCAGCTGGGGAATCCTGGGAATTGAAGTCCACACATCTTAAAAGTTCTCAAGGTTGTGAAACATTGCTGGAAGACAGGTTCTTGAGTGCCTGGTGGTGCTGAATGAGGCCCTGGTTATCTTCTTCTTTCCCCCACAGTACGCTTATCATCCCCCGCCCCCTCTATTTATGGCCCATTTCTTGGGAAGGAAAGGTTGCCCTTCTGCCTGAGTTGTTCCAGACATTTAAATAATCTGACAGTTTTTAATGAGTAAATCCTATTTAACACTAAGTCAGACAGATGTTTACCTCCTGACAGAGCCTGGGGAGTGGGGGGGAAGTAGACCTTGTGGCAGTTGAGCAGGGTTCTCTGTGTCTGGTGGTGACAGGCACGGAATCTCCTCCTGTCAATCTCCAAATCTCTTTGATTTTCTGAGCGTTGCGTGAAGTTTATGCTGCAGAACTGCTGCTGCTCTCTCTCTACAGTGCTCCCTGTTGGTCAAAACAGGCAGCAAGATATGCTGTCATCCCAATGAGCCGTGGGCTTCACAGCACCACTATTCCATCACATTTGATGTAAAGGAAAGTGAAGGAAGGCTCCCACACGTGCTGGCATTCCAGCAATGTCAGGGGAGGGTATCCATAAGTAAAGAATGCACCGAGACAGCAAATGCCAGCAAAATGTGTTTCATGTCTTCCTCTGGCCTCTTTTTTTTTCTCCGTTCCCAGTTTTGTCAGCTCTGCAAGCTGCTCTTTTTGGCATCCGAAAGAAGCATTTGATTGGAAAAGTGCTCTCTGCTTTTTGCAAGTTTTCCTGTTACTTGATCACTGCCTTCCAGCTGTTCTCCTTCCTTCTCTTTCAGCAGTTTTTTTTCCCCTCTAGTTGGATTCATTTATTAGGCTTGCTCAGTTACGGGCTCTACTCTTGCTTTTCAGGCTGAGTGTATGAATTTTGTTAAGATCCTGCATCTCTACAACCGCACACACCTGTGTGCCTGTGGCACTGGGGCTTTTCATCCCATCTGTGGCTTTGTAGAAGTGGGGCAACGTGTGGAGGTGAGTGATACACCAAGGTTCATAAAGTGTACTTGCGTCTGGGGGTTAAAACAGCAAGAGCAATAGCTGAGCTTTGATTATCCACAGAGCCAGGAAACAAACTGCTGAAAGAGAAGGAAGGAGAACAGCTGGAAGGCAGTGATCAAGTAACAGGAGAACTTGCAAAAAGCAGAGAGCACTTGTCCAATCAAATGCTTCTTTCGGATGCCAAAAAGAGCAGCTTGCAGAGCTGAC